CTTTTGGGGGGAAATTTACATTCTGTGTGTGTGATCAATTTTCATGTCTCATACAAGTTTCCAAATCAGTTGATATTGCTGAGCTACTAATTTCCGTTCGCACAGCCTTCTGACATCTCACCCCCTGGGTGTATTAATGGCTTAGCCGAGCCTGGTCTTGGCCCTGGTCTTTCTTGTTACATTTGCATCCGTTTGAGAGTTGGGAAACTGGTACCCTCCAGAGATCTTTCTGCTTTGGGGGACTGGAGAGTGAGGGTGGAGGTGAATGCGGGTAGAATTTGGAGAAGGGTTTCTCCCTTTCCGGCTTATCCCCTGGTTTTCATTTCGTATTGCTGGTTGGCAGCGCCAGAGAGCCACAGCCCTCAGTCAGTCGTGAGAGAAAGCAGTGCACTGCGTTACTGAGCTAAGACACTCTGGAGCGTAGGTGTAGTCGATTCAGTTTTGGCTTATACTAGTTTCCACTGACAATGGGTTTATTAGGACATAGCCCTATCTTAAGAAGAACATGTTTTTTGGGAACATTCTGACTAGGAGCAGGGCAACTCTTACTTTCAGTCCTTGGGAACTCATTCCAACAACTACACCACATACGACAGAGCTTGTTTTGTTCAATACTGTATAACCTGCACTTGGAATAATGTCTGGGGCAAAGTAGGTGTCCAGTAAATGTTTGTGAAATGAATCAATGGATCCTGTTTGTCAAGAATTCATACTTCAGCAGGCGTACTGAGTCATATCTGGCATCTAATCCATTTCCCCAAACCTGAATTGTTTTTTAATTCCCAACCCTCCAGTTGGTTTTGATGTCTAAAGGGTAATCATTACCGCCTCTCCCTACTTCTTCCCAACAGGAAAAATTAGGGGATCTCTACATTTCTTTAAAAAGTTATTTCTCTAATACTGTTTTTGCTCTAAACTGCTTTCCACCTAAATTCAATTTTCTAAAAAACTCTATTGTACCTTGTTATGTGGATTCATGCATGTCACCAGAGGGTTCATAGGCCTTTTAAAAACTCCTCCTTTCCTGTGTTTTGAGGATATTTGCCCTGTATTAGGATCTATGTCTTATGAAAAGACTTATCTCTAGAAAATTAATAACTTAGATTTCACCAAGAATTATTAGTGTCATTGTTTACCACTTCTTTGTGATCTTCTGTTTGCTGGAGATACATATGTTAATGGAGTTTTTGCTTCTCTGAATTATTTGTATTTTGTTTAAAGAGTATAATTTGCTTTTGGAATCCTCCCACACCAGAATTCACCTCTTGCTTGAACCCTTGTTGGACGCCTGGATTTAATACAGCCCCACTGACTTCCCCCTTTGTGCGTTTCAGGTCAGGCTGATGTCAGGTCTCCCTAACTTTCAAACTGTAGATAGCTGTGAACTCTGGGTTCTTCCTCCCTTCGTTCTCATAATTCAGAGCAAAAGACTGCACAGCTGTAGGTTTTAAGTACAAAGTTATGGAAATTAAAATCCTTAAGGATCTTTAGTTTTGCTCCTTTGTAGTCAAGAGTTGAGTGATTTCCTGCTGAAGAAAACATTGTAGAATTTTCTTGCTGTCATGCAAAAACCAGGAGAAAATGGTTTTAAGTATGTTCACATAATATTGAATGTAGGAAATATTTTTCTATAGAACAGAAATAACCCAATTGCCAATTTTTTGTTTTTGTTTTTTTGGGTACCGGGGATCAAACTCAGGTCATTACATTTGTGAGGCAGGCAGCAGGAGCCAAACTTTAAAAATTATTTTCTAGGATCAAATTTTGAAAGAATAGATCTTTTTTAGAAATGTGTCCTAATGGCTGAACTTTTAGTTAAGAGCTCTACTTGCTCTTTATCCAAAAGGTATGTACTTACTATCTGCCATGTGCTTAGAATTATTTACACTCACATGCTTAGGTGATAGAAATATCCTGAGATCTAATGAAGTGTAATAAATGTTTGCAAGGACATTTATTCCATTCAGTTGGTGACACGGGAGCTGTTTTAAGGAAGAGAGACCATTAAGAAAAGGCTAGAGGGTGGGTGGGTAAGATTTCAGCATGTGGAATTCTGGGAAGGAGGTGAAAAGAAAGGATCCTAAGGATGGAGAAAAGGTATGGACAGGCAAAGGGCAAAGGGATGGATACGACAGGTCCCAGAATACAAAAGGGAAAGGAGGAAATGGGCAGGTACTGTTAACAATGGAAGGGCATTTCAGGGTCCTTCAAGTCACTAGTTTGAAGCTGTCACAGCTAGCACTTTGAAATAAATACAGAAAAATGTGAGATAATTTATACCAGAAAAACATAATAGTAGTGTTTTCTCCCCACAAAAGGTAATTTAACTTAGAAAACTAGGACTGTGGGACTCATTTTCCTGACTTCAAATAAAATGATCTTTGAGACGCATCCTGGATTTGGATTTGTTGCAATCACTGATCACCATTCACTTTGGGGTGAGAAAGGCTGGCATACCTTACAACAGGGCACCATGGCTGAGGTTAATTAACCCACTTGCACAACTAACATTGCCAAGGCATGAGAGTCTGGTTACAGAAACCTGCTTAGGGAACGTCATCAGGCGTGTCCAAATACTAGTAACAGATCAATTAGGTACTTTCAGAAACAGAGCAGTTTGCCAACATCACTACAGCAGGGTACCAATTGCACTGGTAACACACTGAAAGGAACCTCAAGAAAAAGGAAAGTTGTCTAATACACCAAAAGGAAAACCCTTTCAAAAATTCTAATACCATGAAAGAGAAAACATGTATATCTTACATGAGAAAGCTTTATTTTTCCCAGTCTCATCCCCTCAAAACCCTAGGGCCTTGATTGTGGTACTATATTATAAATGGACAATCTATTTCGAAATCTATTTTCAAAAAAATTCAAAAAAATCTATTTCAAAAAAATTCCTACTGGTACATTTATAATAGACACTGGCTTTCAAGTATGCATCTATGGAGTAAGGCAAGGTTAGTTGCTTACATTTAAAAAAATGACTTATTGAGGTGAAAACCATTTTCATCTGCTGCCAAAGATTATCAGCATAGAAAAGGTTACTCTGAGAGCTCCTTCATGGATATCACCTCTAAGCAAGGTGATCTTTTCTATTACTTTTCTAAAGTAGACAGAAGCTGTAAATTTATGTGCTCAGTGATACCAATATATCAGAGAAGTGTTTTCACTTCCTTCAAGGTAAAACCTGCTACACTAGAGAATGACAATTGAAATAAGCTGTATTAAAGTTCTCCAGAAAAACAGAACCAATAAGTTGTGTATCCACACAGATGTTTAAGGAATTGGTTCATGTGATTGTGGTGACTGCCAAGTTCAAAACCGCAGGGCAGGAGACAGGGAGTACTTGTTGCAGCTAGAGTCTGAGGCTGTCTTGGCGTGGAATTCCCTTTTACTTCGTGGGTCCTCAGTCTTTTCTCATAAGGGCTACATGACTGGATGAGGCCCTCCCATAGCATGGAGGGTAATGTGTTTTACTTAGGTCTACTGACTGAAATATCAGTCACATCTAATAGATGTCTTCATGGTGACATCTACATGGTGTTTAACCAGAAACTGGGTGTGGAGGCCCAGCCAAGCCAGCAGACAGGATGAGCCATCACACTAGCCAAGAGGCAACATCTTCAGAATGGGAAAGTTAGCGATTACTGCTTCTTCATGGAATATAATGTAGTTGGATTTAAGACTTTCTGGTTTTGTTTACACTGAAATTGCCCATATTTGATCATTTTTGATTTATAAAAAAGGGGTAACTGTCTGCCCCATGGTTAGATGCTGCTGACCTTTTCATTCAGATGGTCGATCAAGAACAAATTTCTTTCTATAGAGTTAAGTTCCTTGGAACACCTCTAGAAGTCTGCACAAAGTGGTGCACTTTTGATTAAGAAATGTTTAAGTGTTCAATTAATGAAAAGTGACAATGAAAAACTCAAGCTGTTTATAGAGACTACTTTTTCCTCTTACCAGCAAACTATTAGCATGAACTTTCCATTTAACATTTTCTGAAAGTCTCTTAGCCCCATTGGGTTTACAATACAATACATAAACTGCATTTCTAATTAATTTTCCATAAGGAAGAGTATACCTTAAACAAATTCCAAATATACTTTTTCAGAATATTCTGCTCTTGACTATTACAAAAAGCAAAAGCATTCTTCCTTCATGAACTGTCCTTTGAATATTTCATATGAACAAGATTTAAATAAAACATATTCAGTGTTAATTCCATGAATTAGCATGGAAATACATTTAGATTTGCTGGAATTAAGTGAAAAGAGGAACTACCAATACTGGCATCATTGTTTTCTTTATCCTCTGAAAGTTGTAGAGCTGAAGAATCTCTTCTATTTTACTGAGAGAGGTACTATGAAATGCACATTATTTCCACAATTGGCACCTGGATAGGTATTAACAGAATTAATATCCCTCCCTTGGAAGATGCATTACCAACTGTTTAATGGATGAATTTTAGCTGAAATGATAGAAGTCTGATAACCTTTGGTACACATAAATGCCAAGAGTGCTTTTCAAAGCAGAATTTTAGGCAAACAACCTAAGTGGAACTTGGGATAATTGAAAAGACAATTTATAGTACTGACAGTATTGAAGAAATGCGAAATGCCAATTTTACCTCACTCCCAAAAAGAAACACCCTAATAGCTTTTCTGAATTCTCAACTCAGTAGGATTAAAGTTTTGATGTTTTGACTTTTAAAAAATTTACAACTGTTGTCCTTATAAAGGACACAAGTTTTAAAAAAAACAATAGTGCCTAAAACCTTACATTTCAACAAAGAACCATCTTAGAGCCAGCAATAAGAATCTTATATTTATCAAATGAAAAAAATACTTAGAATGAAAAAAATGTCACAAGTATCACCTATGAAAACTTCAGTAAGATCTACATTATCTAAAGTCATTCTATAATTTTATTCAGGTATTTTATAGAATTCACATATTATTTTTACAGCAAACATAACACTGTAGGCCACAAGAAGCTGCAGTACTATTATTGTTTAATTAGCAGCAAGTGAATATTTTAAATCTGAGTACCTGGACAATAAATAGCCTGCTTCTTTGGATGTGAATGTTTAAAATGTAGTATCACTGCAGCTCCAAAATGTGATTGCTATTTTACAGAGCTTATACACACACACAAAAATATGATCTTTATCTATATTTTATACAAATACAACAGTAGTTTGTGAATACATTTTTAAGTACATGATATACATGATAAGCCACTTGATTTCCCAATATCACAGAAGAGCAATTTTAAATGCAATAAAAATATACAAAATTCAGTCTGGAATGCAGGTTTTTTTTCTTTTCTATTTTGACTCAAAACTTTACCATTAGAACATTTTTAGTGTACTAGTCCAAACACTTTTTCATTAGCTAAAAATATAATTTCAGCAGTCCAGCTTATGGTCAGGCATGATGCAATCCATTTCCTAATGGATTCCCAGTTTTTGTTAAATTCAAAGGGCTGTTAGTAATTTACAGCATGTTCTTCACTCCACACCCTATTTATAAAGCCCACTTTCCATTCTGAGTTACAGTCACCTTGTGGACAAAAGCTGGGTTTGTTCTGGTAACATCTGCACGTCCAAGATCTCCTTTTGCAAGTGCACACAAATACACTGTGGTGGTGTAAAAGTTTGTTAATGACATATTAAGTCACAGTATAAAAATATATTGTACACCTTTACACCTAATGCAGTCCTTTTCCTATGGATAAAAAAATACAACTGAACAAGACAGAGAAGTTTGTAGCACCATGAAAAGTTGTATCCCACGTTACATTAGCAGCATGATCCAATGTAACATTGAAGGAGTGTTTCTGAGCAGATAAGACATTCATTCTGGTTCATCTGTACCACTGAAGCTTACACAACGAAGTGTTCTATACATTAACAATAGTTCTGTGTCATTTCTAGAGCTAAGTAACTTATCAAAAGGCATGGCCTTCTGTCCTCAGAGGGTTGATAATGCTGTGCAAAGGCCTAATGGTGATCTAAAGGTGCCATTAACACGGTTATCTTGTTGTATACGATCCCAAAGGAACTCTCTGTGGGTTTTTAGCATGAAAATACATAGTTTATGTAGATCTAAACACTGAGTTGTAGACATGACTGACACAGAGTGAGAAAAACTAGACAAACTCACTCAGGCACTCATTTGTCAGAGAAAACAGTTTGTCATTGCTAGTGCTGCATACTCAACATCTTAAAGATCTCCTCCAATGTCACATGGATCTCAGTAGGCTAGAAGCAACTTGGGTGAACTGGTATTTCTTAACTTACATAACCGGGAAGACAGTGTGCTTTGAGACACGTAAACCTTGTAAAAAAATAAACCGTTGTAAAACCTTATGAAAAGACACACACTGATTCTGTGCAATATAGCAAATTGATAAGAAAACACTGTAAAAATGTACCTGTTTAAAATACCATCTACCGTTTTTGTACACAAAGCATTATATATCAAAGGCCTACATATATATCTAATGGCACTTGAGACATTATAATAAGTCTTAAAATAAAGGCATAACCTATAAGAAAGTTTCTGTAAAGGTTTAGATTCATTTTGAAAGTGCTATATCTTGTAATATGTGTAGTATAGAGGTTGACCAAGCTCTATTTTAAAAAAAATATATTGGCCTAAAATATGTGTATTGCTCACTAGATGAACGATCCTGAAAATACGTACTCTATAACATTCATTATTAGCTTAATAAAGCAATCAGCTCTGGCTCATGTTTCAGTCAGTATATGGTTTTTAAAAACCGCTACTGTCCAAATTAACACAATATATCACTATATTCCACAAATGAGTAAGAAAAATAAAGCACAAGCAACAAATAGTCAAAAATACACAGCTTAAAAGAAACCCTAAATGAAATTTAAAACTTGCACAAAGAGTGGTGCATGATCAGCCAGGACAACTGCAGTTTTAAAAAACTGGACTTGGTAAGAGGGTTTCAAAATGAAAATTTTGAAAGGGACTAAGAACTATATGATATATGTATAAATCAGTGGATAATATTGCTTACAGTGCCAAGATCCTTCCACATTCACACTTCTGTGTTCAGAGATCTAGTTTGTAGACACACAAAAGTCAAACTGAATGAGGTTCAATATCTTGTCTAAGGCCCAAATTCTACCCTAAAATATTTTGATTTAATGTTGCCCCTACCCCCCGAAACCAAGCTAAGGCACTACTAGGAATTTCAAAGATGATGATTCTGGCCACTGAAGAATGAAAACAGCACTGTCAGTAACTACTTATGAGAATATTTACTTCAGGCAAAAATGAATCAAACTTTTTACTAAAAAAAGCGCCAATTCTGTGTTACAACTTTGTGAGAGCACAGTGCAATTAAACAAATCTGCCTCGTCTTTAATAGAAATTCTATCAAAAAAGGTTTAGTGACCACTGCAGTCAATTTAAAAACACAAATTTTAGCTGAATTCCCTCTTAAAAGTGTTATTTCGAGTCTGTGGAGGCAGCAACAGGCAAAGTGGTGCACAGGGAGAATTAAGACCCCATAATCACAATTTTAACCCTAGTGCCTTGGAAGGTGGACCTCCATGTACTTGAATTCCATACAGGGTGAGATGCATGGTGTCATTCCCCGTTTCCAAAATGCTTTATTTCATTAATTCTGATACTCTCTTTCTTTATTAGCAGTGAAATACAGCCTACGAAGGCCAACGTCTCAGTTTAGACAAATTTTAAACAGGATAAAGTAGTGCTTCACACTTGCTATCTGTGACCGCTATTTAAAAGTAGATTTTCTATTTACTTGTGCTCTCTCACCAAATATTTTTTTCCTTTTTAATAGTGATTAAAGCAATATTGAACACGAATCATTCAATTAGATTTAGGTAAGCAATCTGTTTCATAGAAACTAAAGGAAGCAGTAATGAAGCAGAGCAAGAAGCCTACTTTCAGAGCAAATATTCTCCTAACCAAAAGCTTAGGAGCAGTTTGAAAAATTTTAAATGTATCTCCTTATTTAACATATATAATTTTAATGCCTTTGGAACACACTTTAATAAAATGTAATTTTTCATAATAAAATTTAAATACATAGGTATAAAAACTACTGCTCCTAGGATTAAAAAAAAAATAGGAGCATGTTAAAATATCAGGAGCTAAAGCTCCTCCAGAGAGCAACTTTGATTCTATGAAGTGCGATATGTGTAATATATATAATATATATAGTGAAACCCCCATTTACATTATTACAATTTACATTTCTCCACAAATTATACTATTCCCAAATATTTTAAATAATGTATTATACTCAGTAATCTGCACTCATTTTTAGAAATTCTTGGTAAACATTGAAATTGCAGTGATAATTGGCCCTATAAAAGGGAAAGTTCTTCCCATATAGAGCTAATGAGTGCTTAGAAATATTTTTTTTAAAGAGATATATACTCTTCTATAACCCTTTTCCCCCCCTCAGCCCTTCCCCAAAGGACAAGGTCCCAAAATAAGGTGTTAACACATGCTTAATAGATGTATTTCTTAGGGTAATGTCCCAAATGACCTTTTGAAATATATAACTGGACCTTTGAGAAGACTATGGTGAAGAAAGCCCAAAAGTATTTTATTCAATGGAACAATACTCTTGTTATCTTCACATTAACAAAGATGATAGTGCTTGTCTTACTTTTCTTTGCTATGCTCTACAAATTCAACTTATTTGCAACATTTTTCCCATTTTCCAGAGATGTGTAAAAGTGGGGTTTTACTGTATATATCTTTAGTTGCTTAAAACTTTGTGATAATTCCTCAAATTGTTTTAACTTCAAATGCTCCATCTGAAAACAGCAGGGGAAAGATAGATTCACATTTACTAAGAAAAATACCAGGGGGGAAGAATGTTGTTTTTTGTTTTCTGCTTTTGGCTCTTAGAGAAAGAAACATGTATCTTATTCAGCAAGAAGTGATGTAAGTGATATGCTCTTACTTTACTCCTGAGGAGTGTAGTTTTCAACCCTGGCAACAGCAGACATGATCACACAAGTTCCAAGGTTTAACCGTGTGCTTTACATCTGACTTCCTGCTTAGGAGTCTATCACACCTTAGAGGCTGAGACAGTCCACTCTGGGATTAACACATTATTGTCTATAGTTCCATAATAGCTCTAGATTCTGGACTGTGGACAAATAATAACAATTTTAAAAATTGCTGGTGCACTTGAGCCACCATCTGGCTGTGCAAGGCAGAAAAGATTAAGGAGAGCTAGTTTTATACACTGATCCTGAAGACCCTGATGCCATACACTCTTACTATTATTAAATGGGAAGATAGCAAGTCGAGAAGGTTGAATTGTGACAAAAGAGGCTATGTACTAATAATTAAAGGGCCAACTATTATGTAACACAGAGTACAAGTCACCATATTAGGAGTCTCTTTTTGCTACAAACACTGGTGCTTTATGTTTTGGTTTTGGTTTCCTTATACATTCTAGTATTTTAGCAAATATTTTCCAAGACAATAGCAAGTCTTCAAAATATACTGACCTGAAATTATGATATATCTAAGAAATATTTGTTATCTTTCCAAACTGGATTCTTAATTCATTTAAAACATTTGATTATGAATTCATTTACGGCTAGTAAAATTTTTAAAACTCTTGCATTATTCACATGCATTTTATAAAATTTACACTGTATTGAAAAATGCTTTTAATGAGCCAAATGTCAAAAGGTAGAGCCACTGTTATTGGACAAAAATGAAAATTGTAAGATCTAAAAGTAATTTGAACGTGGGACTTTCAAAACTTTATTAATATAATGGCTTTCCTATATGAAATAAAACTTTTAGACTCTGACAATTGGCAGTGAATCAGGACAAAATACTCAGGTAAACATAACTGAACACAAATGGTTTCAAAGCTCATTTAAAAAGCTAGTTTCTATTTTATACTGGCTTAATGAAAACTGGTATTATACAAAAGCAGAAACTTTTATACTGTCTTAACGTAGGCACTAAAATAAAAATGGGCATCTAAGGCAGGGCTACACATACATTTCTGTAATAAATCCACGTCCCAGAATCCTACTGAAAAGCCTGGTGGAAACGTGGCAAGGTGGTGCTTGTGCTTAAGCTACTGGTGAAAGCTGCTGACAGTGAGTGCAGAGACCCAAGACCTATAGTGTTTGCAGGATCCTGAAGATCCTGTGTTTGTGGAGGGAGCTGAGAAACAGAAGAATGTGCTTCATCTTGGGAATAGTTCATTCCAAGGCTCCCCACCGATAAAGGATTATAGGCAGGACCATTTAATGGTATGAAATTAAACAACTGAGAAAAATCCAATGCTGGTGTGTTGAGGGGGTCACTGATAGAGATGGAGCTTTTTGATAGGGAGAGGTCCCCGGCACCATCATCTAGGGACCCGCTCTGAGGATCCAACCCTAGCTTAGCTGATGATGCTTGAGAATCCTGCGATGAAGAGGGCATGCCACCTTGTAACTCCATCAGGTAACTCTCAATTTCCCCCTTTAATGGCTGTTCTTTTTCAGGAATAGAAATTGCATATGAGGTAGAACTGAACGGATATTTGAAAGAAAGGTGGTGAGAGGGATGAACAGCATCCATATCTATTGGGCACGTCATTCCCAAAGGTAAAGTTGTGATCATTTGGTGAGCAGATCCCGAGCTCTGCATGGACTGAAATGGAGTGTTATAGAGGTTTAACTGCAAAGTGTTTGTGAATGGCTTTGATAACAGTTCACTGGAAGGTAAGGACATCACCGGAAGGAGCTCATCTTTTATAGGCACAGACACATTGCAGGTGAATGGATCCAGGAAATCCACTGGTTCAGTTTTGACCTTCAGAAGCTCTTGATTGTGACTCTTCTTCATATGTCGAGTCAGGTGGTCCTTTCTTCCAAATCTCTGTGCACAGTACTGGCAGAGGAAGTCCTTCCTTCCAGTGTGCACCACCATGTGCCTCCGGACATCTTTTCGGGTGTAGAACCTGCGATCACAATGCTCGCACTGGTGCTTTTTCTCTTTCACACCCCCGGATGACTTGCCTGCATGAGATTTAAGGTGCTCCAGAAGCACTCCTGTGCTTTCGAAAGTCTGCAAACACACCTTGCAGGTGAGGTCACCACTGGTTGCGGCATGCAAGGCCAAGTGTCGTTTAAACCCAAGCTTGGTATTATAGTTTTTGCCACATTCTTCACACTTAAATGTCTCTTTGTTGGGGTCGTGTGTATGGAGATGATTCTTCAGATGATCTTTCCGGTGAAACATTTTTTCACAATAATTACACTTATGGGTTTTTTCAGGAGAGTGAGTAGCCATGTGCCTTTAAACACAGATAGAGTCTGTAAGTAATTATCACAATGAAAATGGTATGCATACACTTTTCAAATGGGCAGCTAACTAATATGCTAACACAGCACTCCCTTACTAAAGGAAACCACATAACTTAAAATGTACCAAAAAGATAGTCTACATACCTAAATACTACAAAACTTGAGCCATTTAAATTGCCACTTTAGTTTTTGCTGATTCTTAGCTATCATTACAAAATCAAATGAGCAAGACTGAATCTACTCACGTAAATACCCTTTTCTTGTCATTTCTTTTTACAAATGGAAATTGTACTGTCGTTAAGCATTTTATTTAAAAAAAATCAAGACACTAACACATAAAAGTATGTGATCTAGAATACTAAAAACTAGCCAAGGTCTACTCTACTTAACATTTCCTCTCTGCAAATCAGCTGAAAAATGTGTATACAAATACATACGTTTACAATGGCTTCAAATGGCCAACATAAGAGAAAATATAATCTGAAAGAAAAACAGAGTTTAATACCTTTGTAATTTGTACTTAGAAACAAAGGCCTTGGTGCAGTCTTGTTGTATGCACTTGTAGGGCCTCTCTCCTGTGTGAGAGTAGGAGTGAACCTTTAATTTCTCAACACTGTTAAAGGCCTTGTCACACAGTTGGCAAGGAAAGTTTTTTCTTGGTTTGGTTTCACCACGCTTACGTTTCCCTGAAGGGACTTTCTGGTTATCTCTTACTTCTGACAAATCACCAGGAATGACAGTGGCCATCGCAGCCTAAACCAGGCCTTCTTGTTGGACACTTGGGAATTGCCCAACTCCACTAAATGATATAGCTTTAGGTGGCTTCTCAAGTTTCATGTGGTCGTAAAAGAAAGCAAAAAGGGACTGGAAAAAAAAATAAGAAACAACTAGTTTGTAACTAAACTTAATTAAAAAAATTTTTTATTTGCTATGTGATGCTTTTGAATTAAAAAGAAACTATAAAATGGATTCAGCTGGTCTAATGTAATATCTGTAGATTTCTCTATTATTTGTCAAAACACATATTATCGCATTGCTCAGAATGAACAGTTCGTACACACCCTGAAATTCCACTTGACAGATGTACTTAGGCACAGTAGTAGTGACTTGGGGAACTTTCAGGAAGCATCAAAACATGATTGTAATAGTGGCATTATTAAGCTTCAGTTTTCACAATGGATTAGAGAACATAAATCTGACTAAAAATATAAAAATGTTTCAGGAAAATCATTTTAATTTGTACAGGTCAGCTCTAGTTACACTCTATGTGACAGGAGCAATCTGATAAACAGTGAAAACTCTTGTAAGTACCTTATGAAGCACTAAGTCCATAAAAGAAGTACTTTAAAGCCCAGACACTAGAGGCCTTAAAGAGTTGAATGTACAACCTGAAGTGACAATTTATTCTTTACATCAGGATCAGCATTCTCTGAGGGATTTGTGAGTCGAGAGTAGATATAATTTATTTTTAAAAATATACACTCTTAAAAGGTAAGACCTTTCGATGTTGTATGAGGTGAAGAGCATGGTTCCTTGTCATTTTGGGGGAATATGTTTAATTTTCCTCAACATTTTTTATATCATAGAGAACAATCATGGTCACTGGGCACACTGAAGTTAGTAGATACGCTGGAGTCATTAGGCCTCCCCACAGCTGAGGGTCTAGCCTTTGACACACCTGTAACCCGAGTGCAGCACATCTGTTGTGACTTCTGGTACCGCACAATACCTGTGCAAGAATGCATCGTCACAGAGGTGTTCAGGAGGGTAAAAAGATGTGTCAGTTTCAATTCGCTTATTGGTGCTGTGAGAAAGAATGAAATGTATATATGGTACAGCAAAGAGTATGTCTTTTTAAATTTAAACAGAACCTTAAAACTGCATTGAAACCTACGTAGATAAGAGATAGTAAATATTATCAGCTCTTTCTCAGACTAAGAAAACAAATTCCTCCAAAATACAAAACTAGTATGAGTTAAATGATTCCTTGAGATTTCTTTAAGGTAGTTTAGACAGGTATTTTCAAGAGACCGCAAAAATGATACCTGTAAACTCTTTTTAAAAAGATATGATCGGGCCTGGGGATGTAGCTCAGTGGCACCATGCCTGCCTCGCAAGTGCAAGGTCCTTAGTTTGATCCCTGGTACCAGTGCGGGGTGGGGGGGGTAAGCTGATCTTTAAATTGAAAGCTTAAATGTGGTTAAATGACTTATCAATTACTAATTGATTAGGTTTTCATCCTATTATATATTTAAAAAATAAAAACCAACTTTTTTTTTTTTAAAAGTAAGAAAAATTTATTGAGAGAGAGCTTCTAAGAGAGACAGAAGGGGGACTGGAAAGAGGGTTGCCCACTAAAATTTTGTTTTGGTTTTTTTGGTACCAGGGATTGTACTCGGGACCTTCTGCTTGCGAGGCAGGCAGCAGAACCACTGAGTTAAATCCCCAGCCCCTTGAAAAAACCAACTTCTTATGTCAATTTTGTTCTGGCATTAGACTGACACTGCCTTCACAAGTTAGGTATACACACTTTAACAGATTTGTTATACTTTTACAAAAGCTGTAAATACGTACATTTAAAAAAAATTAAGTGTATCTTATAATAGGTCTTTTTGTATTTTAATGTAGAGGCTGTCCCTATGCAAAGTATAGCCATGACCCATTAATTTGATTAAAGTAGTGAAGGCATATAGGTAAAGTTAAAGAAGTTTTTCTTGATTAGGTAGCCATAGGCAAGGCCCTCATGCTGTTCAAATTGTCTAAAAGTCCTCCATGCAGTTTAAAAGTGACATTTACATAATGCAGTTGACATTAGCAATGCCAACACTGTGTGTTTCCTCTGGTTTTGGATTTTCTTAATCTCACGTACTTGTTCTTTTCCTGTTATAGACTTGTTCAGAAGATAGCTTCTCTTCCTCCCTTATAAATTATAGCCATTCTTTTGTTAAGATAAACTGTTATAAAGCATTCTGTATTGGCAGGAGAAAAAACTGATTTTCAATTATTTGATTTCCTAATGTAAATCTTTAATGCATTTACTTAGAAGATCATTTTTCAATTGTAGAAGCAAAATGGGATATAAAGTATCTAAATCCTTGCATATAATTAAAAGCTGAAAATATCTCAAAGATTGGTCATAATTGCCATCGTGTTACAAGACCCAACTGTAATGTGGAGAACCCTAATTGAGAAAAATTACTTCTACGTTACTGGAAAAAATGTATTAAAACTGCATCATAAAACAATTTATAAACATTTGATTCTATTAAAATTGGTAATATTCAACATGGAGTAACAGAGGAATTATTATCTTTGGATGTACATACTGAGCAATGAAGAACTGCACTGATTTCAAATATTACACTTTCCTAAGACCAGCTGAAGTTTTTTCATGGCTAATACTTTTTTACCTTAATAAATTACAGAACTCAAATTAGTTATCAAAGGTGCATTTAAATCTACTGGATAAATATAATGTTGTAAACTCAATATTTAATAAAAGATCATAATATGTATATCAACTAAATATATTAAAGGTGCATGCATAGAATTACAGTGATTTTTGTTTGATGCTTACCTGATTACAGACAGAAAAAGCTCCAGACTATGATCTTAGCCAGTCCCATTAACTCTTCGTGGAAGAGAGTGGAATCCAATCTTTCCCATTTTGGCCAATCTATGAAAAAAAAGCAAGAATGGACTATACTCTAAATAGAACTAGCATGTAAATGACAGAAAATAAAGGATGAAAGAATTGCAATTTCATGGCACATGCTTACATTCCTCATACTCTGCCAACAAGTCATGCATTAATTTTCACCAACTGCATATTTTTATTAGTTCTAAGCACATTTACACAACCAAATAAATGCAGAAATAAAAAGTCAAACAGTGTTACCTAGATCAATGGCAATTTGGGATGCTGAATGACTCCCCACTTGTTTCCCAAATTCAATTTAATTTTTTAGAAAAACCTAACTTGTCTACCAAAAGAAATGGATATTAGGGTTACTGTTTGTAAACTAAATAAACTAATAAAAATTTCATTAATTTTAATATTGTGGAAGAGACAAACTCAGTTCCCTCTTGGCATCCATATCTAGAACTGCACCAAAGAACCCATCTCACGTTGAAAGCACTCCCACTGTGCACACTTGTATAACTGGATTTCTTGGAGCCACACTTTTGTTACCTGCTAATTTATTTTTAATAACACTGTAAGTACTGGTCATTCGTAGCAACAATTCTGTGCTGTTTTATATTTCAAAAACATGCAAAGGTAATTAAATACAGGTTTGATATTGGAACAGGAGGTGTTAGGAAGAAAGCATATTTTGGTTTACTAGATCATTGTTGAAAAAATCTTAAAATAGCTTAAAACACTTAAGAGAAACTAGATTTCTAGTAGACTGACAGCACGCATGTGTTAATAATTTGTCATTTTACCAGTAAATATGATAAAAGCCAAAAGACAAGAAGGTCTAAAGTAATCTGTTATAAAAGTACAAAGCATACAGAAATTAGTAAAGTCATTTGGAAGATGAACATTCAGAAATCATTATTTATGAGAACTCAAGATGGTAATATATAAATCAAATAGATAAAATAAAATAATGAAAGGATGTGTCCATGACAGATTAAGTAAAAATAACTTCAGAGCTCGAATACTAATCTAATAATTTTCCTTGAAATAAAATTTTCATACTTTCAGAATTTATGGATATATAAATAAAATATTTGAGGACATTCAAGCATCATTATAAAATTACTAAGGGATATATGTGAAAACAGCCTTATTATCACAGTTTAAAAGACAAGAAAAACAAAAAGTTAGATCAATAAAAGATTTCAAAAAGTTAAAAGCAAAAGCTCCATTCTTTGTAAAGCATAGGTCATGCATAAATGGAAGAATTGAATTCTGCACATCAAAGTTGCAAAACAGTAAAATTAACTTTGTAAATACTTACTTGCACATAGTTTTTGGTGGGGTAGGTAAGAATATGAAAGACCATTTTGTGTATTATGCTGTCTTAATAATATAAGTACAAGTATAATATTTCCAACTCTAATACAGTATCTCCCTGGAGTTCAATGAATTTGAGATTTGGATATATTTACCATCATTGCCATTTTGGATCAACAATTTGATAGCACTGTGGTATCAAAAGGGGCTTATGCCCTTAAACTCCTATTTCGCTTTTATTCTACTGCATTTATGACAAGGGCAGGTTAGCCAACCAGTTTGGGAATGGATAAGTCCTTTCACTATACTTCAAAGATCAGAAGAGGGACAGTACCAGTTTTCTCTATTAGAGCTTCCAGCTATGATCTCTAAAAGGAAATAAATTTTAAGACTTAAAAAGTTTAGAAGACAGATTATAAAGTGAACTTTAAATAATTTAAGTAACTTATTTTTCTTCTTTTCTCAACCAATATAAATTTTATTGCTTTTCAAATACATTCATGATTTTTTAAATTTATAATTACTATTTAATGATATTTTTCAATAAAAATACTTTCAGTATTTTAATATACTTTAAACTTATGTATTTTGTTTGGAGAGATTCCAGATGAGATTAGGCACGTTCAGGGTGGTATGGTCATAGATTGGAGAGATTCCAGTACAGTCTACAAAGTATCCCTGCTATATAGCATATAATTTGAAATAAAATAATAAAGCCAAAATTTTAAGTTAGTTATCTTAAGACATCCCAAGTTATGATTAATTTCCCTAAATTCAATCAATTTTGAATTCTTTTGAGTGGCCAAATAAGAAACTGTTATTTCCCACAACAAATGAAATAAGGCGTTAATTAGAATGCACTATTATTTGGAATATATCTGTATCTATCTTGCTTGTATTTATGTAATCCTAATTAAAATTTCAACTAAAATTATCTGTGTATTCTCTTTTATAGGACAAAGAAAAACCTTTTAAAAGCATTGGGATTACAGTTGTGAAGTCTGCAACAAAACTTGTACTTTTAAAAAAAAGTTAAACTTTCTAAGTGAGGAAAATTCTTCTTTGACTTGGTCTGAGGAATTGTGAAGAAAGTAGAAAATTGCTCTAAGATGAAGCCACTTCAGAATACCCTTCCAGTTTTTGTTGGTACCAGAACAGGCATTTATACCCGCCACAGTGACACAGACTACACAGCAATGGTAGAGGAAATTCTGCATGTCCTTGCACACGTAAACAGGTTTATCTTCCTGTGTTTTACCTTATTCTGAAAGTGACTCACACCAAAAAAAATAACAAAAAGTGAATCACACATCAGAAATAAGACCAGTTTCTATGAGATGTTGTCCAAAGAATAGGATAGTGGTTAAACTTTGTATATTTTAAATTCTACTTTTGGGGGTGAGTTTGAGAAAAGGCCTTGCTATGTATTCCAGGCTGGACTTGAACTCACTCTGTGGCCCAGGCTGGCCTCCAACTTGTTGCAATCCTCCTGCCTCAGGCCTTCAGAGTGCTGGGATTACAAGCATTCGCCACCTAATAGGCTTATATTCTACAGTTCTGACAGTCACTTTGTTAACATTACAAATTTCTATAATACTTACCTGCATCAGAAATTCTTTCATATTTAAAAGTCAAAGAGACTTTGCTAAGGGCATATGTAATCAATCACCAACACTTTAGTCTCCCTTGTGCTAATCACACATTATTAGTAAACAATTTAGAAATGTCAACATTTGCTTAAAACATGTTTTCCATAGAGAGTAAATAAGGTGGATTACAAAAGGGAACTTACCAGTTGATAATGTTTTATGTGTATAAAACACTAATAAGAGTTTTGGATAACACGAAGGAATTAACAAGAAAACAAATGAAGACAGTTAATTCTGAAGGACAACAGCATACTCAGAACATTTTAAAAAAACAACTTCAATTATTGTGTGTTAATTTGGAAATGCTTACAGCAGTCAATTAACATGTCTGTAAAATCACTTCTTAGGAGAAGAAAAAAATTATCTTACAATTATAAAAGTCTATGGGAGAATGAACAATTGACTGCAGGCAGCAAAGGGCAGGACTACTGTCAGTTTTATTCACTGTTATTCCCCAGAAAAGGCAGTAAAATAACTGCAGAATGAATGAAAAAAAAAATTAAAGCAGGGCAAGTGTTTACCAGTAATATAATGACCTGGCTTGCTCAAGTGCAGTAGTAGACACAGAACATATGTATTTAAGTCAAAGATAAAATAGCATGGATACAATTTGGTTCAACAAATTGAATAACAGAAAGGTATTTTGTTGAAAATTAACAACCATTTGAAGTCTTAGATTAAAATAATAGCAATTACAATAATAAAAATCTCCTTAAAATACTTATTTTGCTTCAGAAAATAAGTATTCTCTGGATGATCTCATCACTAAGGAATCAAATAGCAGGAGTAAATAACATCAGCAAACCTCCATTCTAATGAAAATATCCAAAATGAAAACATGACTGGTGCCTGTATGGCTCAGCACAGAGGAGGAAAGATGCTAAGACAAGGGTAGGGCTGGTGATCCCTACAGAAAACAAAAAGCCAGACTGTCCCAGAAGCAGGGTACACAGTAACTATAACTCATTTGAATTATAGTAGGTCCTCAAATAACTCATTTACAACCAGAATATGAAAAACTATAATACTTATTTTCCTACAGTAAGTGTCAAAAGATGCCTTTTTAATTGCTATATTTGATACTTTCAACTGATATTGAATAATTCATTCAAATGTAGTTCTGGGTCAATCTTGTTTGAAATTTATCAAAAAGCTGTACTGATATTTGAAAATGTTTTAAAATATAAAAATAATAAAAAAAAATAGAGAAGTGAAGGAAACCTTCTAATCTATTTGCTTTTAAGAACCAACAGGAAAATGTCAACAAATTTTAAAACTGACATTCCAATGTTCCAAGAAACCTCAAAATCACTTCTCTTATTTATCCATACATTTAGGTTGTTCTTTCTCAAGCCATGTGTTCTCTGGATACCCAGACAAAACAGACAACCTGATGAAAATGGAATATTAAAACAAATGTTACCATCCAGTTCAGAAATACTTTCCTTGGTTACTTCATGGAGAAAAATGCCATACTGAGTTAAAAAGTTTTTCTTTCTTAAAAGCTCTCCCATTAACTTAGAACCTAGCATTTTATTTCTAGAGTTGGTAACATTTTTACCACCTATAAGTTAAGTGGCACAGTGGGGGTAGATGGGGTTCCCCTCTGACAGTATGTTATTATCAAAATAGGAAAACTAAAAAATACAGATGGGGCTACAGTTGGGTATTTTCATTTTCTTCACATAGGGAATTAGTACTTGCAAATGAGAGAACAGTGCAAGAGGCAGGGAATGATGCAGAGAGAGAAAAGTAAGTGCAAGTAACTGAAATTATAATAATACAAGGTAAGACTAATCGATACTTTATTTTTAGAGGATTTCCTGGGCTTTAAAAAATAATTTGTATAAAACATTTCCAAAATACTCAATATGTAGCTAGTACTATGAAGTAGCCCACAGGTCACATATCCCAAATTGTACTGAGTTTCCTGTCTTATTAACATTAACTCCTTAAGTTTATGTGACACCAACTATAAAAATATTCACACTGACGGACCCTAAACAACCACTCATGTATGGTTATTTTCCTAAAGCTATTAAAATCACAAGTATGGAATAATCCAGGTTTCATGTTTGAATTCTCAATCACTCATACTGAATCTGTGTATAATTTCAAATCAAATGGTAGAAATCAGGGGTGAGATTAGAAAAGTGCTAAAGAAACAAGCTAAAACTTAGTTATAAAAGTTCATTTGAAGAACTAGTTTTTTTTTTTTGGTACCGGGGATTGAACTCAATAAATGCGTGCTTTAAAAGGGTTCATGCTCTACAAGGAGGTATAAATGTTGCCTGATGTGCTGTTGTTCAAGTAGCACTAAAAATGTAATGAAAATACAATCAACAACCAGGTAAGGCTCTGTACATATGATCAAGCTGTCCTCGTTAAGTTATGCCCATGTGGCTGCCCAGGATAAAATCACTTCTACAAGCAACCACTTTTCTTTACTCCCACACAGGTGCAAGTAAGTAGGATTGGCTCTACGCAAAAGTGTCCAGTCAGAGGAGGCTGCTCCCTCCCTGGCCTCCAGAGGTCCCTGTGGACCCCTCTAGCTGGCATCATTAGAAGAGTCAATCCCTACGTATCCCTTGACCAATTCTACTCGTGTGGAAATAAATTTGAAAATTATCTTTCAAAGCCTTTTACTGCCAGTGTGGATGGTGGCTCTTCTTGAAATGACCTGTCTAACCTGACTCTCCTGTGGTGACCAGAAACTAGACTACAGGGAACCTATTATTCCTTGTGTCCCCAGCACCTGGCCAGTAGCCATATGGTAGACATTTAATAAATATTTGTTGAACAGAACTGTAGTCCCTTTAAGGGAATTTCAGGAATCAAAGTGAGCAGGTAAACATGCTTCCGAGCTCCCGAATCTCTAATCGGTTAGAAAGCAAGCTCAGGAGCAAACCCAATAGAATTAAATGGTTAGTGTGCTTTGGCACAGGGGTAAAAACTAGGGGTGCAGCACAATCACTTGAGAGTTTTGGCTTCTGAGTCCCCCACAGTAGGCCCTGATTCGGTGGGCCTGGGAAGCGGAGGTCTGGTGTGTGCTACACAGAGGTCTGCTGAGTATGGGGCCAAACGTGATGAGTGTTTTCAGAATATTTCTGCCTTCCAATGCTCTGTTCTAATAATTCCTTAAGTACATATAATCTAAAGCCTAACTGATGGTGACTTATTGTTTGGAAATAGACAATGAAGCTTTATGGGAAGAAAAAGGGAACAAAGTAAATTCTAAATTTTTAAAGAGAATATTCTTCATGTGAAATTAAAATGTAAGAACGATGTTGAAAATATCAGAAAATTTCTGACTGATTACAGATGTAGGAGAATCAAAAGAGAAAACATGTATAAGTGGGGTGTGGCTCAGTAAAATTTCTTCCTCCTATTCTAGCTACTAAAAATAGCTTCATTAAATATAATTTAAAAGCAATGAATAAGAAAATAAACAAGAAAATCTGTAACTTACAACTCTAAAAAATATCCTTTTTAGAAAATATTTATAGCACACAGCTAAAAATGTACGCTAACTTGATTTAAATGCTTAATCTCCATAGAATGTGCTTATTAACATAAAAGTTTATCCAGATTAATTTATGCACCTTTAATTTGATTATAAAGCTCTGTTCACATATACTGTGAGCGCCTATCTGGCCCCCAGGGTGATAGTGGCTGCCTGAGGTCAGTGGAAAGTTTAGGAACTTGAGCCCATGCCCTGGCATGGCCCTCTTTGTTTTTTCTTTATGTTGTACTGGGGATTGAATCCAGGACCTTTACACTAAGCTACATCCCCGATTCTTTAATTTTTTATTTTGGGACAAGGTCTCAATGTTGCTAAGTTGCCTAGTCTGGGTTCAAATTTGTGACCCTTCTGCTTTAGCTTCTCAAAGTGCTGGGATTCCAGATGTCTACCCCCACACCCACCCAACTCACCTTTGTTTTTTCAGGGTCCCCATCCTAGGGGTTGGGGTTGTAGTCCATAAACCTGAACCCTATGTTTGAGGGCCTGTTGACAGACTTACCTGCTGGTGCCAAATTCATATGTGCTTGGATTTCCAGTACTGTGTCACTCACTGAGCTGCATCTATAGGTTGGGAAATCTAGATACCTGTATGTGTCTTCTTCCCAAGAACGCCAGCAAACTGCTCTTGTCACACTGGGTTCCTTATTCTACCATCTGCCCCATCCCAGGGAGCAGATCTAATCCTCCTCTCCACCTGCCCACAGTTAATCAGATCCTTCCCAGAAGATGGAAGAAGATATGGCAACATGGGATAATCTACTGCTACGAGCAAGATCCAAAGAAGGGAGTACTTAATTAAGAGTACATATGTGCTATCTGGGGAAGACAAACAAATAAGCCTTTACAGCAGCTATGTATTTTGTCCAGAGTAAGGAAGACTGCTCCTTGCCTTCTATTAGACCGTAATTATTACTGAAGTCCTGCTGATCACAATCCTTTTTGATGGACCCTAAGACTGTAAGTGGCATGCTTATTATGTGGCATGCTTTTCAAAGCTTTTAGTATTATATCTTACATTATTTAGGAACTGGAATAAGTGACCACTTTGAAAGTCATGCCATATAATGATAAAAGCCACCTACCTGAGACCCCTTGCTCCAAACTCTAACAAGGCAATCTTATTAATAGACCATCACAGAATGAAGCATTCTGGGTGCCAAATACCACCAAGGCAGCACCAAGAGGCAACCTAAAAAGAAAAAAAGAGTTAGTTTGAAATTCCAAAAGTCATGCCTAACCTAGTTAATGGTATATGAACCAAACTCTTTATCATCACTTATTCATATTCATTGCACTTTGTGGAAAAATCTATCTTAAACTCTGTTAAAAACAAATATTTATAGTATATTGAAAAATGAAAAGTAAACATATCAATATCTCTAGGTTCTTGTATTTCCCCCTTGTATCAAAGTAATCTAGATTATTCACATTTTATTCAGTAAAATAGTACTCCAAGCTTACTGCTATTCTCAAGTTGGCTTCTTATTTTCTAAACACATCCACTATCTTCTCTGTAACACGGTTTTCAGAAAGAATCTTTTGTGTTGTCTATCTTGTTCTGAGCAATGGCTGAAGAGAAATCCTGCCCCACGAGTGCTTTCCTTGGTTTCTCTGTTCCCACAGAAGGATGCAAACCACCGAGTGCCCTAAAATGGAGGTAGAATAGAGAACCAGGGTCAATTTTTTGCTCCTGAGTTCATCTTTATAATACAACTAACAGGTGTTACAGAGTGAATTCTCAGGGGCAGGCCCATCTTTAACCACAGACAAAGAAAAAACAAAATGAACTTTGCGGTATTACGTATTATGAGCTACCCTAAGCATCTCCTTGTTGGTGCAGATGATGAAGTCTGACCTCTAGGTCCACAATCAAGATGAACAGGAATGCCAGAAAGTCTATGTAGAAATCATGGCTTTGTGTCCCTAAACCAGAGAGTCAATGCTCAATTTTACAGTTACCCTTTTATAAAGATAAATACCTGACACTGATCTAATAAATATGACATATGGTACTAATATGAGTTACACTTAGTGCTAACCGACATGATCCCTATTCTCTAGGAGTGTGGAAGCTAGTTGTGGCTGCAGAGTATATCTCTGGTTGAGGCCCTGAGTTCAATCCCCAGCACCCTCTCCCCATAAAAAAGAAAAGAAATATGACTGTTAAATAAAACTTGCCGTAACATGGTCCAGGTGGTGATTAGTGTGACAAATCACCAGTTAAAAACAACAAAATAATATATGGGATAAACAAGTACCATAAAAGGTCAGAAAAATAAAAAGAATATTAGGGATTTTGCATATTTTTTTGCCTTGAAAAATCTACAATTAAGAAAGGCCAAGAAAGCTGGACATGGTGGCGCACTCCAGAAATTCCAGCTACTTGGGAGATCAAAATAGAAGCTTGTGGTCAGTCTAAGCAGCTTAGTGAGACCCTGTCTGAAAATAAAAAATTTTAAGAAGGGGTGGAGATGTAGCTCAGTGGTAGAGTGCTTGCCTAGCATCACTGGGTTCCATCCCTAGTTCTCCTCCCCCAACAGAATCCCCAAAAGGGGTGAGTGTGTGTGTGTGTGTGTGTGTGTGTGTGTGTGTGTATCTGAAAAAATAGGCCTGTCAGAAGAATTCATCATGAGTCAGAGTTGTAGATTATTGTGGTTTCTAAGATGACCCTTTGGCTGTAGTGTCCTGTAATGTATAGATTTTGTAAAGATTCAAATGAGTTAATCTTTTGAATCTTCTATGGCCTGAAAATGTCACTCATGGTACGAAAGGGGGCAGTTATAAAACACTGAATGGATCAAAACCACAGAGAAATAACAAATACTTGGGGAGGTAAGAGGGAGGAAAGGAGATAGAATGCTTGTTCAAATGAGACAAAGAATTCCAAAATCAGTGAAAGTAACATTTCCTAGAAGAAGGGCCACATACAGCCTGACCATATTAACAAATCTCCATGTAAAGAGGAAGGGAAACAAAGGCCTATAGCTCACTTTCAGAGACAGAGTCAAACCAGATTACTGGTTAACTCGTCCTGGAACCCAACCACTACCACTCAGAGATAAAATTAGATAATTTAAAGGGGCAAAGGGGCAAGGAAGAAAAAGGTAACATAACCCACAAACAGACAAAGCTGCAAAGGGGTGCTGAATCACCCTAGAATTCTTTTTTTTAGTATCAGGGCTTGAACTCAGAACCTTGCGATTGGGAGGCAGGCATGGTGTCACTGAGCCAAATCCCTGGCCCTACCCTGGAATTCTTGCAAAGCAATCTCCACTTAGGTAGGGAGACATTGGGGTTCAGTAAGAATACTGGGTAAAACAAGAGGGAGCAAAAGACTGATAAGAGGAAGAAGAGAGAAGAGAAGAGAAACATAAAAGAGGAGTGGTGGTTGGGTGAGGAGTAAAGGACTTCCAGCAAGAGAACGCTTTCCTTCAAAGAGCTTCATACCTAAGAAAAAGCAGGAGGGTTAGCTAAAGGGGAACTCAGGACCCCAGGGAGGCAGGGAAAACATGGAACATTTTTGAAGAAACAAAACACAATAGGATCCAGAGAAGGAGGGGAAGTTCTTGTCGATGCAGACCCAAGAGGGATGTATGTTTATCCTGGTAAGTTTTTTGGTAGCAGAGGCAAGAAATTCAAGGAGTTTGCTCAGTTTGGTCAGGGTTGAGAAGGATCCAGTGTCTGATAAGAAGGAGCAAGGTACTTGGCCAGAGGATAAAGAGCTACTGAGGGAAGCAGAGAGGTGCTCAGGACATCCTTGAGGATTTTACAAAAACAAAGAGAACTTGCCAGAAAGGGTTACATCTCTTAGTTACTGTATAAATTGTTGAAACTTTTCTGGAATATGTTGTGGAAATACATAATCAAAGGTTTTTTTTTAAAAGTTCATATATATTGACTTGATAATTCTAAAAATTAAAGCAAAAATGAGAAAAGATTTAAGTATAGAGATGGTCAAAGTATATTTTATTTATTTAATTTTTTTGAGAGGAGCCTGCTACATGATCAAAGTATATTTTAAAATAAAATTGACAGTCCCATAAAAGAGGTGAAAGTATATCTCTATATGATACACTACAGCTATTAAAAACCATGCAGTTTAAGAACATTAAATCACGTGAAAAATAGCAGTTAAAGAGTGTTAAATCATATATAATTTTTTAAAAAATTTAAAGAGCTGGGTACAGAATAAATGTGTACACTTATGATCCCTCATTTGTAATGTATGCTCTTGAAACTAGCCCTCTTCCTCACTAATATCTTTAAACGTACCTAGGCAAGTTATAACTAAAAGACTGGCAAGACGCAGGCTTTATACTTTTCAATGTCATATAAATGTCTTTACTTTTATAGACAGAAAAGTTATTTTAGCAAAAATAATGTTTTTCAACAAATGCTACTGGAACATGTGATGTCCATATACCAAAAAATGAACTTAAGAGCTGTATCTCACACTATGTACAAAGCTTTATGTACATCACAGACTTAAATAGAAAACCCAAACCATAAAACTTCTAGAAGAAAAGCACTCTGAAAATCTGAGTCAAAAATTGCTTGTTTACAGTACCAAAAGTACAGCCCATAAGAAAACAAATTGATAAATTAGATTTCATCAAAATTTAAAACTGTTGTTCAAAGGATACCGTTAAAAGAATGAAAAAAACGCCACTAGAAGATTTGAACAAAACCTTTACACAGTGTGTATTTGATAAGGAATTTTATACAGAATAAAGAACTTTAAAAACTCAACATTAAGAAAACAAACAACTGGAAAATGAACAAATAATCCAAACATTCATTTTACCAATGAAAATATATGGATGGTAAAAAGCACATGAAAAGATGCTCAACATCACCGGTCAGTAGGCAAAGCAAATTAATACCACAAGGAGACCCTTCTGTGGTGCATAAGCATGATGAAGTCCACCCACTGGAAAGACCAAAATTAAAAATGCTAAATATCTGACTAAAGTGTTGATAATGATGTGAAGCAAGTAGAATTCCTATCTGCCATTGACAGGAAGGTAAAAATGGTACAATTATTTAGGAAAACAATTGGGTTATTTCTTGAAAAGCTAAACATATGTCCACAATATGACATAGCCATTTCTTGTATCTTTCCAATTTTAGTATATGTGCTGTTGAAGCGAGCAGTGACATAGCCATTTCAATCAATGTATTTACACAAGATATGGAAAAATGTCTTCCCAAAGATTTATGAATATTCAAAGCAACTTTGCAATAGTCAAAACTAGATACAATACAAATTTTCATTAGTGTGTGAATGGATGAACAAGTTATAGTAGATTCATATAATAGGCTACTAATTAGTAACACAAGGAAACAAAATATTGATGTATACAATAATGTGGATAAACCTCAAAATCATTATGCTTCATGAAAGAAGCCAGGTAAGAAAAGGGTGTATGTTAGATGAGTCCACTTATATAAATGTCTAGGAAATTCAAAATACACCACAGTGACAAAAAGCAGATCCATGGTTATCTGAGGACAGGAAGTAGGACAAGGAAGGACCATTCACAGAAGGGACGTGAGTAAACTTCTGGGCACGATGAACATGCTCACGACGCTGATCGTGGTGATGTTTCAGAGATGTATACGCATGTTTCAAGGGGGAACCTTGTATGCTTCACATGTGTGCAGTTCCTAAAATATTAATTATACCTGAATAAAAGCTGTGAAAAAAATGGCAAAGTCTTCCTGTTGGGAAAAACCCCAATTTCAATAAATACGAGAAATGAATCTACATCTAAATTTACTAAAGCATGAAAAGCTGAACTGATAAGCTCAAATGCTTTATAAGAGAAATGATGCAAAAATGACTGAAGTCTCTTTTCCATTCAGAGAGAGATGAGAAAACATGAGGAACATCAGTTTAAATGTTAGCCGTCTTCAATCCTTGCTAGGAAGGATACTTATTTAGGTACTTTTAAAAGCCACATTCTCAGCTGTCAAACTTGGAGGAAGCCAGTGCAGTTCACCTGTTCGTTATAAACGTGTATAGCACATAATATGATTTAAGGGCTCCAGGAATACATTCAAACTGGAATTGAGACCTGTGGATGATAAATACTTCTGGGATAAGTTCCAGTTATCAAATACCAAAGGAACTGAAGTGTTTGAATGTGGCCTTTATACAATCCTTTTAAATACAGAGAGCACTCAATTTACAAAAGATCAATTTATGATTTCTTGACTTTACAATGGTACACACAACCCTTCTATAGTCACTTTCAGTACAGTAACTAATAAATTACATGATATACTCAGTGTGTTACTCAGAAATAAATGCTGCTCCAAAATGCCTGCTGTGGAATTTAAAAAAAGGAATACTCTCCCCATCCCATACCACAGGTTCAAGAAAAAGACGGGACTATTTCATGTGAAAAAAACTATGCATTCCTATATAATGTAAGATTTATATTAAAAATGATTAGTTGAGGCAGTTACTTCTGACCTTTTCATCTTAGTCACATAGTAAGGGTGTATCTTAAATTTTAGGGTAGTCATGGTCACACATAAACCCAAATCACAGCTCAGATAAAACCAACAAATGTGAGGCCACAGTCGTTTTATCAGTTAAACTGAATGGTAATTTGGGCAATATGTGATTGAATATTGACTA